TAGGCATTTAATGAAAGAAAAAAATAACTAACTAATATAAAAATGGTTAATAAATTAAGAAATTAATCAATTAATTATTAAAATATCTGATTAACTTATGATGATATAAAATTAGAAACAAAGCAACATGAGTGTAGAATTAATTAAAGGGAACGGAAGGAGAATTCTGCATTTTCATCTTCTTCATTTTCCATTACCAACAGGTCATGTTCAGAGCATTATAAAATGATCATTTCTTAACAAAAACGGACAAATAAATATACATTGTAAAGTCCTCATGGCGCAGAACAAGATGCTATTAAGAAAAAATGCAAACACAAACAAAATCTAGGATAAACAGAGCCACAAAGTTTACGAAAAAAAACTGTGTTCTTCATTTTTTGCATTTTGCGTTTCCAACTAGCCATCTTTAAAGCATCATAAAATGCTCATTTCTTAACGAAAATGATAAATAAATATGTATTGAAAGGGTCTCATGGAATAGAACAAGATTCTATCAAGAAAAAACTCAAACACAAACAAAATCCTAGATAAATATAGCCACAAAGCTTACAAAAAAATAGTGTTATATTTTCTGGATTTTTGCAGTTTCGATATAGTTACGGTTTGATTATGGTACAGGATTTAAATTAAATTAAAGCAACAACAAACATATATCAATGGATTGAATATAATAAAGAATTATCGACTAATGTGAAGAAAAATGTGGAATTCGTTATTACACGCAAGGTGCCCGGTAAAATGTTTCAACCAATTCAAAAGCGGTAATGTAAAAGTGCGGGTAAGAGAAGTGAAATATCTTACCGATGGAGCGGATATTTTTTCTGGTTAGTATTGAGAGTTGCTGACGAATTTATCAAAGAGAAACCCTAAAAACTTCAAAGTAAGCTTCTTTAATCCCATTAATCTTTACTTGATAATTATGGTTTAATATTAATGATGAATTTAGAAGATGTATCTTGAATGTAGAATACTAATGAATATGCTTGAATCTTGATGAACTTTGGATGATGATTGTTGATGATAATGTGTGAATTGTTGAAACTTAAATGATGATTTGTTGAAATTGGATTGTGGCTAAGTTCCACCAAATTTAGAACTTCAATATGAAATTTTAGATGGTGATGGATATGAACTTTGGTGATGGTGAGTGAGTGAAGAAAAAGAGAGAGAACTTGAAAAAAAATTATGGGGGGAAAATGTTCAAGGAGTTAATATTAGTTATGTTAGTTAAATCCAAAATTGTGAGAAATGACATGTTTATATAGGCTTTGTAAATGAATGAGCATCCTTGGATTGTGATCCAAGTAAGAGGTTTATCAATGGTTTTAAATTAATTTAAGCCTTAGTTGCGAATTACTATTTCAACCCTTGAATTGATTGTTATAAATGATTATGATTGAATGAAAATTTGATTGAAAATGGAAGTTGGAATTTATGTTAGTTTGGTAGGATTTGTGTTAGATTGGTAGTTATGGTAGTTAAAGGGTTAATTGTGTGATTGAATGATTGTGGATGCATAGGTAATTAGAGATAAATAGTGTTTAGTTTTTGCTAAAGTATCAAGTTAGGATGTAAGGAAAAATGTTATTAGTGATAAACTTGAATTTAAATGCTTTGCCTTTTGATTTTTCTACTACATTTCTCTTGAATTTTTGGTGAATTATTCTATGACTTTAAGTGCTTTTGAGAAGTGATTTTGTGTTGAAAATAAATACTTTTGAATGGTTTAAACTCGTGAATTAAATTCTGAATTTTTGGGCATGAATCAATGTTGGAAAGTGTTGAAAAAACTAGTGAATTTAAAGAATAGTGCAGAATTTTTGTTTTGTTTCTTGAATTTTTCATGACTTTTTCATGACTTTTTGATGATTTAACTTCATGATATGAATGTCTAACTTGATTTACCTTCTTCCTTGTAGAAAAGTGAGTATTGTAGTAGAAGAATGAACTTGAAGTAACACTGAAAAGTGAAGAACAAGTCATGGAAGTGAAGCTTGATGAAAGATAGAATTTGTTGAAAATTAGCATTTAAAATAATCATGACATGAGTAATTTTTTTTAATGAATAATGATGAATCCTTTGATCAAGTGCTTATAGAGTAGGTCAAGAAAATTCAGGACTTAAAATCGAGTCAATGGTCAACACTTGACCAAAAGTCAATAACTGACCAAAAAGCCAATTGTACCCTAAAAGATGTAGTTTTTTTACCCTCTTTCCTTGTAATCCATTCTTTTGATTCGTATCTCAAGCAATATGCAATGTACCGTGTATTACCAATAAAATAATAAAATCTTTTTTATTCTAATTTTGTCTTTTTCTTTAAATTCAAGCAATCTTCCGAATTAAGTAACAGTCATTCAAATCCTCTTGCTAATCATGAATCTCGAATAAAGAGATGATTCAAACCACAAGTAATATGAGAAATAAACTAGAATGATTACCAAATAATATTCGCCTCGAAAATCCACTAAAACTGATTAAATCCATTAATACCGAACATTTAGTCCATTGACCAATTATGTCAAATGCGATGAATGAAATACTAAAATGAACGACCTAATTGGGTAACTTGATAACCATACATACAAATGATTTAAGCATGGGAAAGAAAAGAAAAAATAAAGTATGACAAAATTAGGATAAGACAATATGTATTTGATGTGATCACGGTGTTATGCCCATTTTAGTTAATCAAACATATTTGATCTTTACATTTTTTTGTCTAATACTTGTCATATTTGTATCATGTCTTTGACTCTACCTGACGTCGAGATGAGCTATTAGGTTTAAACCTAGGATAATGCAATTATGCTTAAACATGGTTTGTTAGTTTATAACATGATTTGTGAACTTAGACCGCCACTAAGAAGCATACTTTAAGTTTAGATCAAGGTAATTAACTATCAAAAGTTAGAGTCTAGAGATAGATCTAGATTTGATATTCAGATATATTGTCAAATTTTAATGTTATCATATTGTATATTAGGTCGAGAGATCGTTGAATGAACAATACAATTGATATGACGACACTATTTCAGACATGTATAATGTATAATGTTGACGAGCAATAAATTATAATATGGATTGATAGCTAAAATGTTTATAATTGATCATTGATATGCATGAACTTCAACATCTCTCTATCATTGATATTCTCTTATTTTACTTCTGTTATTATTTTTACATTCTTAAACAAAATTACTTTCAAAATCAAATACTTTTCAACTTAAAATAGTAAATATTAGGCTTAATACTCTTTTTGGTCACGTATCTTAACCTCAAGATTTATTTTGGTCCCTTAACTTAAAAAAAATCTATATTGATCCCTTAACTCTTTAAAACGTTCCATATTAGTCATTTTTGTTCTATTAGCGACTAAAAAAATTCAAAAATCAGTCATTAAATTCATCGCTAATTAGACAAAAAGAACTAATATAAAACGTTTTGAAGAGTTAAGGAATCAATATAAACCTTTTTAAAGTTAAGAAATCAAAATGAACTCCAAAGTTAAGATATTAGACTAAAAAACATATTAAACCTAAATATTACCTATAAAGTATTTTATCGCATTAGTCCATATAAAGACGATAAAAATATATTTATTACATTGTAATTTTTATCTTTATCGACATAAATATTATTGCACTACGGTAAAACACTAATCAATAGAGAACATTCATTACTCAAAGGCTCATATAACATCTTCTCCAATAGTTTCACTTTTGTAAAATAGACATTATGAATCTCATCTAACGAAAGAAGATCGTTTCTTGTAAAATTGCTACTTCATTTGTTAGTTCTAATGACCAACTCTTACTTTACGTATTGACTATAATCACTAATGATTGAAAGAAGATTGTGTCTCATAAAATTGTTATTTGATTTGTCATTTGAAACACACCAATCAATATTTAATGTTCATAAATTACAACAATCTATATACTCCCGCTTGAGGGAGACTTGAAATATAATTGGTTTATATATAATAAAAATTGATGTGTTTGATATGTGCTTATTATAATTGATAGTATATTGACTTCTCTTTAATCAATAAATTCTCATTGTACCATACTCAAAATAAACACCAAATTGAAAGTTATTTTCTTAAGTCATTCCGTATGAAATTCTGATTCCCAAGTGCTGCTTCCATAAATATAATAATTATAACATTTATAATACAATTTTACTTGCGGTGTCTTAATCAATCCCCTCAAAGACACAATAGCATTTTCCATTAAAATTTAAGATACTAGATGAAGTTTAAAAACAAAAACGACAAATCTGCAGGCCAATATTAAATAGGAGACTCGAGCAAATACTTCAGTAGCATAGGTTATATAAATTCAGAAATTGGCTTAGTCCAAACTCCCAAAGATGAATTTGTGTTCACTAGCCTTCAACTACTAAAATATACCAAAAGATAAATGACAAGAAATTGCCAAAAACATGTCTTACCTTCGTTTCACCTTTCTCCTGGGATGAATTTTTAGCTCAGAATTTAAAGAACCATGATAAACTGAAATTAATAACACAATCCCTCAATCCCTGAGAACTACCACACAATGTATCACTATGAATGATTTGCGGAACATTCATTCATTCATTCTAGCTCATCGAGACAACCTACCCAACAAAAGGGCAGAAACACTCATTCCATATAATACATCTCGACAAGGATTACAACATATTATCAATATAACGCTCTGAAGAACCTGTGCAATATCTTTAACATGTTCTGAACTCCACACATAACCACCAACTGTTGATCACAGTATATATGGTGCTTTGTTGCTTTCTGGCCTTTCTGTAAGAACAAGGAACCTGTGATGTTGGCTATTGATTATTGCCAACTTTAAAGGCATGTAAACTTAACTTTCATGTCAATACTATTGATTATTGCCAAAAACACAACTTAAAAAAGGAAAGTACAAATGCTATTGGCTATTCAGCTATTACTTAAATTCTGAACCTAAATCAAGAAAAAGAAAAAATCTAATTACACAACCAAATCAAGTTCCTGAAGCCTCGTTCGAATCTTATCCAAAGTACCATCAATGGTTAAATCAAATGCATCCTTCTTAGCTCTCAAACCAGGAGAACTATTATGCTTTCTATAGACAACCCTAGGAATCAACTCCATTACTTTCTCCCTCATTCTCCTAACCCTAGCTCTAGGTATTCTCTGCAACGCATCAAGAATCCTCAATCCCTTAAACACAACATCCTCCTTAGGTATAGTAACAGAAAAACCCTCAAATTCATTCTGCGGCAAATGCCACGAATACTGCAATTTCGCAGACAAATCCTCGAAAAACACAGGTATACAACCTGCAAGAATCGCATCGAAAGTCGATCTCCGAGTCGGAGTATCCCCGGGAGGTTGCAAACAGAAATTCGCCCCTAACATTGGTTTCATAAACCTAATTGGATCATGCTCACAAACACCATTAGAACAATCAACAGTATCACAAAGCTTTTCATAACCAAATGAATTCACATTCTTACTACTACCACTGCTGTTATCGCATTCAATCCTTATACTCCGCCGGATATTCGGCGTCGAAGAGTAACCTCCACCGCCGGCAAAAAGAGCAAGAGAATACCTCTTCGTCCGACGAACGCGTTGAATCCACGAATCCAACAAAGCGAGATTCGGCGGATGAAATGACGTCGGAAAAGGAACAGCGTGTTCTTGCCACGGCCAAGCACGAGCCTCGAGAGTCAAAGCCGTTACATTGAAAAACTGCGGTAACTCGAGAAACGAAGTTCCCCATAGACGAGGATCCGTATCCAACGGCTGACAAAAATCCCAAGCGGGTCGGGCCATAACCAGAAAATGATCGTGACCCGAAAAACGGTTCCATATAGAAGGGTCATCGTTTTGAAGAAAATGAAAAAGCTGAACCCCGTGTTCTTCGCTGGAGTTATATTCAGGACCGTAAAGATAACGGAGAGCGTCGAAACCAGCGTAGTAAGGAAGATAAACGGCGTTAGCGGTATTCGGATCTTCCGTTAAACATGGATACTCCAACATACGGCGATGGAAAATGAGTTCAAGCATGGACGGGTCGGATCGGTACCAACTATGAGAACGGTTATGGGTTTTTTGACCCAAACCATGGTTTGCTAAGAAAGGGCATAAATCGTCTAGGAATGTGTATTCGGAACAATTTGAGAGGAGATCTAGGTTGAAGATTGAAGGTAGTTTTCTTATGTGGATCCAACGGTTTTCACAGTCGTTTTGTGTTTGTGTTGTTGATTTGAGAATTTCATTGTTTTGAGAAGTGGCTGGATTGAAGAGGAGGAAGAGAGTGATGATGGAGACGGTGATGGGTGATATTGATAATGCCATTGGAAAAAGAGGTTTGGAATTTGAAGGTTTCATTGTTTAACGGTTTTGATTGTGTTTGGTGTTTTTCATTGTTTTGGTTGTGATAATGAATTAAGGTGAAAGTAGAAATTAGTTAATTTAAGAGTGATTAACTATTGTTTAACTAGTTGTATTTATTTATTTATTTAGGGGGTTTGATTTATGAGTGTACAGGGTTGTCGGTGTAGGACGCGTGGTTTGGAGGGTGGTTATCAGTTCTCAATCTTTACTTTTGTTTTTACTACTGACAGTGGAAGCCATTAATTGTGTTGTGCGATTCTTTTTGTACTGAAGTAGAAGGGAGGGCGCATTTTATGTGTAGATGTAGAAAGGGTCATCATCTAAAATGGAAGTTTTTTTTTTTCTTTAATAAAGAAAATTAAGTATTATTTATAGAAAATCAACAATTAAATCAAACAAACAAATAAATAAATAATGTTTCTAAATAATTTCAGTAAGTTAAGATTCATTTAACTCATCTATTTTATTTTTTTATAAATAAATATGGTTACAAATTAGAATTACAATTATGTTTCAATAGTGATGTTGTGGTGGATTAGAGGATGGATTTGAAAGGTTAATCGTCTTAAGTTCAAGTATGTTAAAAGAGTTTAAAATTGGGTAGGATGAAATATGAAAAAGTATGAATGTACTTTATGTCTTATGAGCGTTGAAATATTTATTTTTAAATCAAGCCGGTTGTTGGGTCTTTTTTGGAATACTAATGGGTCTTTTTATATTGGAATTTTGGTCGGTCTAAAACAGTTGTCTCAAGGCTTGTCGTTGAATGTTGGACGAGAAGTTTTCAAAGATTTGTGTTGGCCTAACTTTTGTTAAGTCGTTTGTGGGTATCCGATTGAAAGAGAGAGGTGAACAAGCATATTAAATGCCCTCCCATCATTGAGGCGTTTCGAGTTAATTTTAAACGTGTACCCATATGTTGACAGGTTAGGGTGTGACGTTTTTTTCCTAGGGTGCTTGAATGCACTCAAGTGTTGTGGTACTCTCGAGGTGAGATTTGACTATTACTTTTCATTTTCTCATTTTCTTTCCATCTGCGTTGTGCTTACTTAGTTTGTTATTCTATATAAGGATCACACAATTTTGTAAGTGAGTTTTCGCTCTTACCACCACTTGAACCACACTCACTCTTTTGAGAATCGTTTGCTCTTCCTGTCAATTTTGGCAACATTTGATTACGGTACCCCTTCCTTACTTACTAAAGCAATTTGTTCTTTGACTAACTCTCAACTTCCTTTGCTTATCTTTCTTCCATGACATATCTACACCCTAAGTACCTGAAAGGAAATCGCGATATGAACGCAGCGGAAAAACAAAAATTTCTCTTAAGTTGATCCTTACGAATGACCATGATCTGTGATAAAAACGATTACATCTTGTGGCGATTAAAACCTTTGATGCAGAATCAGATAAATGATCACAAGCGTTGAACGATGAACAATGCTTCGACTTAGTCCACACGAACATATTAGTGATAACTACTACGAATGACGACTTTGAGAGAGAGAATGTGGTTAGGTTCAAAATTGAATTTTATCAAGTGTGAAAGCTTTTGCACAAGGGTTTTATTTATAGAACTACTTGTGTGGGCTGCAAGCTAAAAATCTCAGTTAAGTGCATTGTATCTTATGATGCAATATATTTCACTTAAGCACATGATACCTTACCGTATTTCGTATTCCACTTAAGTGAATTGTACGTTACAATGTTCTATAATTCATTTAAGCCCACCATACTAGCAGCACAACACTCATACCAAATTCACGAAAAATATCGTGTGATATGACAAAATCTTTTTGTGATAATGTTTGTGTGTACAATTACGCTTTCCCCTCATGTCTATATTGGACGCAAGGCATATACCCTATCACCCTTGTCCTGTTCAATATTGGACCCTTAGACATTTATCGTGTTACGCATGTCATACCCCAAAATTTACTCTGCCTTTCTCAATTTTATCTGATTTATTACTACAACCCTTTGCATACTTAGTTCTTTTATTAACCAGTCATTTAGATACTATCATTCATTCATCTGCATATTCATGCTATATTCATTTAAGTCATTAATTCACAAGTGCATGCTTCAAGTGCCATCATTAAGTTCAAAGGTTCCTGGTTACAAAGCATTAAGGTGATTGACAAACTTATGACCCTGATGTTTCATTTGGACATTTCTGGTTCTTGAGCCAAATTTTCATAGGAACCCTAAATCTTTGGTTTTGGACCTCTAATCATTTTAGCTACAAGTCTTGATTCTAGTCCCTGAAAGTCCACCATTGAGGGGTACCTTTTGTCAACCATTTTTATTCTTATTGGGTGATTATCTTTGATTTTGTTTTGTTTATGGCAATGGTATGTCATCAAAAGAGATCAAAGGTTTCAAATATTCAAAGCTTGGATTTTGAAGGGAAAGGCAAGATTCCAATTTAAGGCAATTCAAGTTCATTCAAAAAATGGAGAGAAAAACATTTGTATTGCTTAGAAAACAAGTTACAACCATACAAGGATAATTCATGATCAAAACACCAAAAGTACAACATTATACAAAATACACAGTTTGACCTAGGGTTGATTTGGTCAACTATTGACTTTTTGGTCAACAATTGACCAAAGTAAACTTTCTAATCCAAAAAGCCTACTTCGCCAAGACTTTTCATTTGTGAGTCTCCAAGTGCTTTAAGTCATTCAAATCATCTTCCCTCACCATCTTACATCATGCTTCAAACTCCATATTTAAGTCACCTTCATTATACATCTTCAAGTCACTTGGTAAGCTTGGCTTCAAGATATGTCAAAGCCATCCCATATCAGCCTTGCACTAAACAAGAGCAAAACTTCAACATGGTTACACCATATACACAGTCCAAAATAAGCCATGTAACTGCAGCAATACCACTTAAACTACAATTTCAATCATCCATCATACATATATAACCCAACACCATGATCATCCACACAATAATCATAGACAATATACCATCACCATATTGCAGCAGTATACAATTTCTAACAGTAACTAATAACATCACAGTTTAAGTTTTATTCAAACATTTGCATTAAATTAGGAGATTCATTAACACATAAACTCCCAACTGACTTCAAAACATAACAAATTCATATCACATATAGTTAGCATACAACATAACATACGGCCAAGTCCAAACTAAACAACAAAGCAAAATAGTGCAACCTATGCTTCATAGCAGTCAATTTAAATCAACTGTGTAACACCCTTATTCTACCCCACAGATATTACAGCAAAATAACATGGATTTCAGAGTAAAATATTAACTTTTATTAAAAAGCCACAAAAGGGCGTACATTTCTCAAAGTCAACAAAATTGGTCAATACTCCGTAACACACGGGTTTTCTCAAAATATATCAAAACATCATATACAGCGGAACTCAAACATAACTCAATATTTTCCTCATAAGGGAACATCAGTAAAATAACCCAATGATATACAATCAACTCAAAGAACCCAACCTGATGTTACATATTAGAGCAAGACCCTCTAAATTAACCATAAAGGCTAACGACTCTAAAACTTCACAATACTCCCCGACGGCGTCCACGACTAAACTTGCTCATCTGCACGTTACCCACGTGGAGGTAACATTCAAACAAGCAGGGTGAGTAAAACAGTTCATAATAATCAATGTATGACAAGTAGTGCATAAATGGCATTTTACTCATAATTATTATTATACACAATCACATTACTCAATTATTCAACACATTGATATCCTTAAAGTGTCTTAAAGGCCACAATGTCATAATTCATACAAAAGACTTCTCAATGCAATGTGACACAACTCAATGCATGTGGTACCAATCATCACAGTTTGATGGACATTGGACCATCAACCCTCCATAGATCCCCATAAATAGGATCGGAGCACGTCAAAATACTTCACATCCAAACAGTGGGATTGAAGCCAAAGCAATCGGATGCGCATGAATGCATGATGCACACGTCACAATAATAATCCTCACAATACAGCATATGGTGCATCATCATTCATCATATTCATCATCATCACACAAAACATCACAGTCCATGTCATCACATGGTTCATCACAGTAAATCATCACCATCACATAAACGTCACAACATCATGTTATCACATAGTTCATCAAAGTAATCATCATAATACATCATCTCATCATAGCTCATAATAATAATCATCATTATTCGTCACGTCATCACATCACATCATAATAATCCCCATCACACATTGTTTCATCATATAATCCATCAAACTAATCATTATCGCACGCAATGTTATCATATTTCATCACAGTAATCATCATCGTACAACATATCCTCATATCCTATCATCATAATCATCATACATCATATTATCATAATTCGTCATATTAATCATCATACGTCATATTATCATAATATTAATTCATAATATTATCTCATATTTTCTCATATCATTTCATCAAATCATACTCACGGTAATCCTCATACTATCGCCTATTAATCACACAACCTCACTGTCATACTCATGTTATCATATAGCTCGTCAATTCATAGTAATTTCATCAAGATAATTCAATCAATACATCGTAGAAATCATCTTAACATCATGTACATCTCACGCAAAACCCACCGTCATAATCACATCAACCCATCACAGAAATCACAGAATCAAAACATCAAGACATCATTGAACCAGAACATGATTCGTTACTAAAACATATACACAATTGACTTCTCAAACATAATTAGATATAAAAATATTGGGAAAACAATTCCATTATCTATCCTATGTTATAACTCTATTCATTAGCTTTCCAACGCTTCGAACGGGGGTCAAAATGGACTTACGGATCCAAAGTTACGTCCAAAACAATTTCGACCGAAAACATGAACAGTCGTGACGGACAGAAAGACGCTGTTACGCTTCGGAACTGATTTTTACTCAATTATTCTTACGAATCACTCACTCAACGTACCCAAAACATCACTAAAACATTC